AAGTTTACCTAGAGAGGCAGTATAAAGAGAAAATAGGAGGGGACCAAGGACAGACCCTTGGGGAACTCCAACCGAGACAGGACGAGGGGAGGAGGTATCCTTGGAAAAGGAGACACTGAATGAGCGTTGGGAGAGATAGGAGGAAAACCAAGAGAGGACAGAGTCACAGAGACCGAGCGATTGAAGAGTTTGAAGGAGGAGAGCATGATCAACGGTGTCAAAGGCAGCAGAGAGGTCAAGGAGAATTAATATAGAGTAGTGACCTTTGGATTTAGCGGAGATTAGGTCATTAGTCACTTTGATAAGAGCAGTCTCAGTAGAGTGGAGAGGGCGGAAGCCAGACTGAAGAGGGTCAAGGAGAGAGTTGGAATTAAGGAAGCAAGACACACGGGTAAAGACAAGTCTTTCCAAAAGCTTTGATGAGAAAGGGAGCAGGGATATGGGACGATAGTTAGAAGGGGAGGATGGGTCAAGAGATGTTTTTTTCAGGATAGGTATTACAGTGGCATGTTTAAGGTCAGCAGGAACAGTGCCAGAAGAGAGAGAGCAGTTAAAGATGTGTGTTAGGGTAGGCACAAGACAAGGGGAGAGAGATCTGATGAGGTGAGATGGGACAGGATCGAGCGGGCAAGTGGTGGGGCGAGAGGAATGGAGAAGCGCAGCCACCTCTTGTTCAGTAGCCGGGTAGAAAGTCTGGAGGGTAGGGAAAGCAAGATTTACATGTGGTTGAGAAAGAGAACGGCAAGGAGGGGAGAATTGTTTCCTTAGCTGTTCAATCTTGTTGGTAAAGTAGCATGCAAAGCTATCAGCTGTAAGGTTAGTTTGGGGGGTGACCACAGCAGGGCGGAGAAGGGAATTAAAGGTGTCAAAGAGACGTCTGGGATTGCGGGAGCATGAACTAATGAGAGAGGAAAAGTATGACTGTTTGGCGAGGGCGAGGGCTGCGCTGTATGAAAGCAACATGAATCTATAATGGAGAAAGTCTGCCTGGGTGCGGGACTTCCTCCAGGAGCGTTCAGCACAACGGGAGCAACTCTGCAGATAGCGTGTTGATTTATTATGCCAAAGTATGGCCCACTTTGCCAGAGACACTAAGAGCACTGAAACAATTTTTGTGTATGGTGTATATATCATGCCTGTTCGGTCTCACCCCTCAATTCTCTGACATTTAAGAGTTTAATCGCTTTGCTTATGCAGCCCTAGTCACACCTCCCAGCATGTGACTTACACAGTCTTCCCAAGCACTTCCTGTACAGAGAGGTCTAATGTTTAAAAGATACTTGTACTCAGTTTTTTGAAAGAGCATAATGTTCTGGCACGTTGTGCTATCAGTGTTGCTAGCAAATGTATAGTTTGGGAGAAAACTCTGTTTAAAAATAAATATAGATAACATTGGTGTAGGGCCCACTGATATTGGTGTACACGCAGAAACACTAACACTTTCTAGAAATGAGGTACAAGGGAATTTGGGCACAAAATAGGCACTGCCCTTCCTAAACAGGTACACTTGGGAGGTATGGGGATGCTGTCGCCGTAACTCAGCCTGTTGTTACAAGTTCACTGTAACACCAAAGAAATATAAACAAAAAACTGTTATAGCAGGCACCTGGAAAAACACACACACACACAAAAAAAAACAAGCAGAGTGGCCACAAAACCCCACACATATCTACAAAGCTTCCATGGTATTGTAGTTAAAACTAACAACGAGGTCGCATAAGTGAGGCTGTTTAATAGAAATAGTATAGAATTGTGTAATACATTATGTCCTTTGAGCTATTGGCTAGAAGATCAGCCAATATAAGAAATCAGTTGTTATAGGTTTACAATTACATTTGTGTGAAAGTATCAAGTTTGTGTGCATAGGCAAATTTACAGCATTATTACACTATTGGCTAATGTCTTACCTATTACAAGTACATGTTTACAAGAAACATCTGCAAAAACAGGATTCTCACCTTTTTAGATTGTGCCAGTCACCACAAAGTCACAGATCAATGGGTATATAGAGGCCAGGGCCGGAGCAGCCCTGGAAAAGCAGCCCTGGAAAAAAAATCTATGCCAGCCCCATAAGTCATATATTGTCGTATGTAACATGTAAGGCTATGTCTTGCCACCCCAGATAATTGAGTAATATATATATATCAAATATATATTGCTTTTTCTAATATAAAATATTGGTCCTTTCAGAGTAAAACGTTTAATTATACAGTAAGCATACTCACATGCAGACACAGACAATCTCACTGACATCTTAATGACACACACAAGCTCATTGATCCACAGCCTCATAGACAAACAATCTCACTGATTCTCACAATCTCACTGAAACTCACAATCTCACTCATTGACATAAAAACACAAGCTCAATCACTAGCAGGCGCACACACACACAGCTTAATGTAGTGGTTCTGGTGTGTATAGCCTGTCCCTGCAGGCTTTTCAATGTAAACACTGACTTTTCAGAGACACACACACACACCATGACACAGACAGACACACACCATGACACAGACACACACACACCATGACACAGACACACACACACCATGACAGACACACACATACCATGACAGACAGACACACACCATGACACACACATACCATGACAGACATACACACCTTGACAGACACACCATGACACAGACAGACACACACACACACACACCATGACATACACACACACACCATGACAGACACACACCATGATACAGACAGACTGTGACACACACACCATGACACAGACATGCACACATTACATGACACAGACAGACACACACACACACACCATGACTCAAACACACACACACCATGACAGAGAGACACACACCATGACTCAGACACACACACCATGACAGAGAGACACAAACCATGACACAAACACACACACCATGACAGACACACTCAGACCATGACACAGACAGACACACACACACCATGAAACACACACATACACTCCCACTGACAGATACATAATTGTTGCTACCTGTGGGCAGACAGATGGGTGTGATGGCGGTCGCAGGGAGAGCTCTGATGGCGGCCGCAGGGAGAGCTCTGATGGCAGCCACAGGGGGAGCTGGCTGTTCTGTCTCTGCTCCCCAGCGCACAGCTTAATGAGACTGGGGCCGGAATATGATGTCATATTCCGGCCCCGGTCTCATTAAGTAGTGCGCGAGGGCAGGGGAGCAGAGACAGAACAGGCAGCTCTCCCTGCGGCTGCCATCAGAGCTCTCCCTGCGGCCACCATCAGAGCTCTCCCTGTGGCCACAGGTCACCCAGATATCTCCCCGGTCCCAGGTGCCGACGGCCCACCAGGATATTTCCCGGTATCCCGGTGGGCCAGTCCGGCCCTGAAAGAGGCCACAAGGGAAGGTTCTGAAACCCATTATGAATTTCCAAATTTGGTGTGCTGAATAGCCAGCTGTCCCAATTGTATGTGAAAATCACATTTCTATTTTGAAAAAAGGGTTTTCATTTGTATCTGAAGCAAGGTGAAATAGGTTTGTTTGAACAAAAGGAGTTCATTTTTTTTACATGCAAATCGGCTTTTAATACATTTTATAAACTCATAGAATTAAAGAGGACTGGAGCACAGAGCCTCTTACTAAACAAAGTATAACGTCTCCGACCACTCATAGAATAAATCAAGTCTCATAAGAGAACTCGTGGCATATTTCCACTCTTCACCAGTCTGTTTTTCAAAGTCTTCGTAGATTTCAAACATCAAAGAATAGAGTAATACACATCTGTTGGGTAACCTGGCCTTGGAAGTCATAAATCAAACCAAAATCTCTCATGTAGCACATTAAGAAAGCAAAGTACCTTCAACAAGAAAAAAGTTCTTAAAGACCTCAAAAATGTGTAATTCTATCTGAATGCTCGATATCCAGAATTCTAAAAAGAGCTTGGGTCCAACATGAATGGACTGACCAACTGAATGGTCTCATCAAATGGTGAAAATGTAGGTGTATAATATGTTTTAAGCTAGTATCTTTTAGCCAAGAATCACAGGAGTGTCTCAAAGAGCACCATAAAATACAATGAACAATGAGGCCACGTATTTTTCTTTTAATAGTCATATTGGATATATATCTCTAGCCAACCCAACCCCTGTTTTGCATCCAATTAACGTGTAAAAATACTAGAAAATGGGGGTGGAGCCTGCAGCTCCGAGGCTATAACGGCAAAAATGGCTAATAATTTATACCCTCACCCATCATCTCGACCAAGGGGGTTCCCCTGAAAGAACTGTACCACATGGGACGCAAATCGAAGAAATCGGTACCAGGAAAGCCCACTGACTTTGGGACTGACTATCGGCGACCTGTGGAAGCAAGCACGCGGCTCCAGTGGGCCCACAATGGTGACTTTTCGTGGCGGCTGCTCTAACTCTTCAGACGACTTTTTCGGGCGATGCATAGGAAAAATTCCTACCTACTGAGACTCCAGCGCTGCTGGAAAGACCGAACAAGGCAGGCTCAGACTCCTCACCGGTAACCACCTCGGTTTTAAAAACGCTATTGGCTGATCTCCAAAAGAACATCTTGGCAGTTGTCACTGCACTCCGAGTAGACCTACAGGCACAGAGCACTGGAGGGAGCCTCCCAAGCAAACACCCAGAACATAGCTCAGCTTCAAAAGGCCATACAAGATATACAGCAGCAGCAGCTGCTTCACGGCTCAAGAAGACACCCGGCGGAGAAATAATCTAAAGATCTCAAGAAATCCCAGAGGCAGAATTGCCACAGTTCACAAGACGCTTGTTCACGACCCTACTAACACCTAGGCAGGCCAAGGCAATTACCCCAGAAGACCTCTTTTGTGTCCCCAAACTTGCTAAGGCACCAGCTACGGATACAAGTGACATGACATTATCATCATCTTCCAAAAAGGGAAAGATACAGCTGCAATACTTGCAGCCTTACGAGGTAAAACGCCTTTCCAAATCGAGAATATGGTGCTTACATTCTTTGCAGACTTATTGAGTGGAACACTGGCATAACGCAGGTCGCTTCGACCACTCGACTTCCTGCTTCAACGACAGAATATCAGATACATTTGCCACCTTTACCGACTGCTCATTGTCCAACATTGGACTGACACACACCGTATCCATGACCTCAAGGACGCTGCAACATTGATGCGGGCTCTGGGCCTACCGCAGGACTCACTTACCCAGGAGGTGCCGCGTAGTATAACTCCTTCAACCCGCACCTGGGACCCAGCACGAATCTCCCGGTTTACCCCGCATGGAGTAACACCGGACCCCTACGCGGCGGTCACAACTTGAGCGGACAAAATAGAATATATAGGGAACTGTATACCTGTCTACCCCACCGCCCCCATCGAGACGTGCTTCAGAAGCCGGCCATCTGCTCCGGAATAAATCCTGCCTGGGAGGTGTAGCAGCCATGCCACTACAAGGAATCGGCTGATCTTGATACTGTGACTGCTACCTGAGTATACTCTACCCTTGCTAACAGGAGAAGTGATCCTATGAATATTCAATGCCATACAAGAGTTGCTGTTTTTTTAATTTATTTACTTTTTTTTTTTTCTTTTCTTCCTTGTGACATCTCTTTCTGTCTGATAGATCTATTATTCCACCAATGTAAGATCTGCTATTGATGTGGTACAGTGCCCCCAGAGGTAAAATACCAGAGACCCCAACCAGAAAAATGCACAGTGCTTATCATGCCAGGTGCATTCCACTACCTTACCTGTCCTACCTACAAGCAAGTAAATGTGCATATATTAGCACCCAATAAAGCTGTATAATCTAACTAATTGCTTAATCACCACAGTCTAGCACTTAACATGTTCTGACAAGGTAGTACAGCCTGGAAATGTTACTCTATATAAAAAAAAATATGTATATATATTTTACCACTTTGTTTCTCTCTTATAATCCACCTGTAAATTCACCTGTCTTGTTATTACGAAAACTGTGCATGTTTCTTTAATTGCTTTACAGCAACTGTAATGTAACCAGTAAAGTGCTGAGTACACATGTTAGCTCTATATAAATAAATATACACACACTGTATACCTACAGCACTTACTGTACCTCCCTCTACTGTAATGTAACCTGTAAAGTGCTGAGTACACCTGTTAGCGCTATATAAATGAAATATACATACACTGTATACATGCTGCACTTACTGTACCTCCCTCTACTGTAATGTAACCTGTAAAGTGCTGAGTACACCTGTTAGCGCTATATAAATAAAATATACATACACTGTATACCTACTGCACTTACTGTACCTCCCTCTACTGTAATGTAACCTGTAAAGTGCTGGTACACCTGTTAGCGCTATATAAATAAAATATACATACACTGTATACCTACTGCACTTACTGTATCTCCCTCTACTGTAATGTAACCTGTAAAGTGCTGAGTACACCTGTTAGCGCTATATAAATAAAATATACATACACTGTATACCTACTGCACTTACTGTACCTCCCTCTACTGTAATGTAACCTGTAAAGTGCTGAGTACACCTGTTAGCGCTATATAAATAAAATATACATACACTGTATACCTACTGCACTCACTGTACCTCCCTCTACTGTAATGTAACCTGTAAAGTGCTGAGTACACCTGTTAGCGCTATATAAATCAAATATACATACACTGTATACCTACTGCACTCACTGAATCTCCCTCTACTGTAATGTAACCTGTAAAGTGCTGAGTACACCTGTTAGCGCTATATAAATCAAATATACATACACTGTATACCTATTGCACTCGCTGTACCTCCCTCTACTGTAATGTAACCTGTAAAGTGCTGAGTACACCTGTTAGCGCTATATAAATCAAATATACATACACTGTATACCTATTGCACTCGCTGTATCTCCCTCTACTGTAATGTAACCTGTAAAGTGCTGAGTACACCTGTTAGCGCTATATAAATAAAATATACATACACTGTATACCTACTGCACTAACTGTATCTCCCTCTACTGTAATGTAACCTGTAAAGTGCTGGGTACACCTGTTAGCGCTATATAAATAAAATATTCATACACTGTATAGCTACTGCACTCACTGTATCTCCCTCTACTGTAATGTAACCTGTAATGTGCTGAGTACACCTGTTAGCGCTATATAAATAAAATATACATACACTGTATACCTACTGCACTCACTGTAATGTAACCTGTAAAGTGCTGAGTACACCTGTTAGCGCTATATCAATAAAATATACATACACTGTATACCTGCTGCACTCACTGTATCTCCCTCTACTGTAATGTATCTGTAAAGTGCTGAGTACATCTGTTAGCGCTATATAAATAAAATATACATACACTGTATACCTACTGCACTCACTGTATCTCCCTGTACTGTAATGTAACCTGTAAAGTGCTGAGTACACCTGTTAGCGCTATATAAATGAAATATACATACACTGTATACCTACTGCACTCACTGTATCTCCCTCTACTGTAATGTAACCTGTAAAGTGCTGAGTACACCTGTTAGCGCTATATAAATGAAATATACATACACTGTATACCTACTGCACTCACTGTATCTCCCTCTACTGTAATGTAACCTGTAAAGTGCTGAGTACACCTGTTAGCGCTATATAAATAAAATATACATACACTGTATACCTACTGCACTCACTGTATCTCCCTCTACTGTAATGTAAACTGTAAAGTGCTGGGTACACCTGTTAGCGCTATATAAATAAAATATACATACACTGTATACCTACTGCACTTACTGTACCTCCCTCTACTGTAATGTAACCTGTAAAGTGCTGAGTACATCTGTTAGCGCTATATAAATAAAATATACATACACTGTATACCTACTGCACTTACTGTACCTCCCTCTACTGTAATGTAACCTGTAAAGTGCTGAGTACACCTGTTAGCGCTATATAAATAAATATACATACACTGTATACCTACTGCACTCACTGTATCTCCCTCTACTGTAATGTAAACTGTAAAGTGCTGGGTACACCTGTTAGCGCTATATAAATAAAATATACATACACTGTATACCTACTGCACTTACTGTACCTCCCTCTACTGTAATGTTATCTGTAAAGTGCTGAGTACACCTGTTAGCGCTATATAAATAAAATATACATACACTGTATACCTACTGCACTTACTGTACCTCCCTCTACTGTAATGTAACCTGTAAAGCGCTGAGTACACCTGTTAGCGCTATATAAATAAATTATACATACACTGTATACCTACTGCACTTACTGTACCTCCCTCTACTGTAATGTAACCTGTAAAGCGCTGAGTACACCTGTTAGCGCTATATAAATAAAATATACATACACTGTATACCTACTGCACTTACTGTACCTCCCTCTACTGTAATGTAATCTGTATAGTGCTGAGTACACCTGTTAGCGCTAAATAAATAAAAATATACATACACTGTATACCTACTGCACTTACTGTACCTCCCTCTACTGTAATGTAACCTGTAAAGTGCTGAGTACACCTGTTAGCGCTATATAAATAAAATATACATACACTGTATACCTACTGCACTTACTGTACCTCCCTCTGCTGTAATGTAACCTGTAAAGTGCTGAGTACACCTGTTAGCGCTATATAACTAAAATATACATACACTGTATACCTACTGCACTTACTGTACCTCCCTCTACTGTAATGTAACCTGTAAAGTGCTGAGTACACCTGTTAGCGCTATATAAATACATATACATACACTGTATACCTACTGCACTCACTGTATGTCCCTCTACTGTAATGTAACCTGTAAAGTGCTGAGTACACCTGTTAGCACTATATAAATAAAATATACATACACTGTATACCTACTGGACTTACTGTACCTCCCTTTACTGTAATGTAACCTGTAAAGTGCTGGATAAATAAATTAAACATATATACAAATAATTTATATAAGAATGTCAATAAACAGCCATAAAGCCTTTTACTGAGTCATTTGTCGAAGGTAACTGGGATTTGGAAAGTTAGTAAAATGATCATAATAATAAATTTATTTTATGATTTCCTCCCATAGGTCTCAGTAATTGATGCAGTTCCCCCGCTGTGAGAGTTCGTTTGGAGTCTATCAATACTAGATCGATGCTTGTATTTCCTGCTGGTCTACGATCTCACCTCTTCCTTCTGAGCTAATTTTCCGACCAGCTTAAATCTCATGAGTCTTGCTGCAGTTCCAGAAAACTAAAGGTAAGTCTCTTAGCGCCTGTGATTCTGGGAAATAAATAATATGTCCTCCTAATAAAGCTAAAACGCCATGTTTTATTATCCACGTTATATTATGGTAGTAAACACAACAACTAAAATCGCAGGGAAATAAAAGAGCTTACATATTATTTTTACAACTGTTAATAAATGAACACTAATTAGCAATGTGATTTTTAACTGCAAAATCAAAGTGTTTTTGAACTGTGAGGAAGATTCTGTTATCATTGTTTTATTAAAAAATTACTCTTGTGTTCCAACAGAAAACTGGATTCTTTTTTCACTTGAAATGTTTACTGTTATATATGATATACCTTGTACGAAAGAAGGCCACTGTCGAAAATAGGTGATTTGCAAGACAAATAAACTAGAAAAAGATTTTTTAATTAACTCTTATAAATCTTTCAAATTCTTTCGATTCTGCTGAATCTGTAGGTTTGAAATATACGGTCCTGTTTTTTGTTTTTTTCTTACATAAGAAGTAGCCTCTGGACAAATGGCTGTGCGCAAGAAGTAATGGCTTTTTTCTTTCTTTTTGTTATGTAATTTTTGCATTTAACAAATTAATAGATTCTCTTTTCTCACAGTTTTCCTTAAAAAAAATATTCTACCAGAAAGTATTATTAAAGAACAAAAAGTTTCCAGAATTCTCCCTTCTTATATCTTTAAAGAGATATGTGAAGCATGTTGTTATGGTCTTGGTTTTTAGCATACCCCTAGAGCCATCCAGAGATTGTGTTAAACTCATTTTTTTTTTATTCTTTATTTTGGTTGTGCATAGCAAAGATATGGTCGGTACATGGCAAATTTGTAAGATGCAGATATACAGAGTGGTTTTACGATAGCATTGCCATGTTATGGCACCTTTTGTATTTTTCTCCATAATGCCACGTGGTTCAAGTTTCGGGATATGTCTGAGAGGGGGATTGGGTATGGGGGTTTCCATGTGAGTGAGAGCTCTCAGATGTTCCCGTGCTTTGGGTGTTAATATGCTCGGGAGTCTGTATCTAGTGGGCTGGAGTGGGGTCAGCATATTTTCTCTTGCAGAGGTTGGTAGGTGTTCTCCCTGGGCTCATTCTAAGGATTGTCTGGTGATCTTAAATTGGGACTATCAGGTGTGCAGCAGTAGTGCTATATCGCCCAGCGTGGGGGTCATACCTATGAAACAGCAGGGGGGGGGGAGAAGTCAGGTTTCAAGCTACGGGCCAGTTCGGGATTAGTCGTCTCCAGTTGCTAGGCATTCTACACAAACATGGTAGATGTAAAAGAATAGAAGAGAGATAAGAAGGAAAACAAATTTAAACCATATCTCCACAGGGTTAGTAAACTTTCTTGTAGACAGTTCTCCATTTCCAGACTTGGGCGCGTTCAGGTGTTAGTAGCTTGCACGTTGCCATTCCTTGGGATAAAGGGAGTGATGCAGTCGTAGTAGGCTGCGGCTTGGAGTGTTTTGCCGTGTACAAAAATAGCATCTATCGGTGCGGCGCCAATCACGGAAGGTCAGCTGGAGTGTTTTTAATGTCGGATGGGGCTTTATTGGGGAGATATTTGATGGATTTAGGCTGTATTTGGAGGAGCTTTCAG